CATAAATATAATTAATAAAAATTAACAATATTAAAATTATATATACAAAAATATTTATTTTGTAGGTAGTTTTTTTTTTCTGTTAGTAATTTATTTACTGAACGAGTAAGTCAACATATCTTTGCACTGATTGATCCGAGGAAAATGATAAAGTCAAAAGTAAAAATATAAATCCATTTAGGTCACAAACCAAAAGTTGTTGTTACTAATCTCGCATCAAATCAATCATGCGTCATCTTCGTCTAATCCCATCTCAGAAACCAAAGCAAAGCATGTCTCCTGCATAATTAACGAATATGCCACCATGCTACACGTGTCACACCACCCACATACGGGTGCAATTTGGAGCTAGCCACGTCACATTCTATTCACTTTTCGTGGTGCACTGAAACTTTCCTTGTTATTAACTCCTTCGTCATTTCCAATCCTGTTATGGCATTTGGACTCCGAACCAAGAGCTTTGGGTTCATAGAAGGAGAGCCTGAGTTTGTGAGTGCATTCCAATGGTGGAACCAGATTGATGACTCGGATCAATGGCAGAGAGGCACTTACTATGCCCTTTGTGTCGCTTATACGTTGGTCTCATTTATTGCCCTGGTTAGAAAAATGCTTAACTTTTTTCAATTATTGTCTTTTAATTTTTAATCACTTTTTCCCTTTTTTTTGGCTTCGGTCTGAACTTATTATTTACTACATAACTGACACCCCGTCTCGTCAAATCTCAATAAGGTTTAAACTTTAACCTCTGACCAGATTTTTATGATCCAACACTGATGTTTCTCTATGAGGGTCATTGTTTTGCAACCCCTGTGAACTCCGAATGCGTTGGTTTTCTTCATGCAGAATGTGAATGGTTGTCTTTTGGTGCCTGAGATGTAAATTGTGTGCCAATTTGGTAAAATAAGGGTTTGTAGCTGTTTGTGCCCAAGCCAGATTTTTGCAAAGGAAGCCATAATCGTAACCTGTTTATTTCTCAGGTACAACTGGTGCGAATTCAAATAAGGGTACCTGAAGATGGGTGGACAATGCAGAAGATTTTCCACTTGATGAACTTTGTTGTCAATGGATGTATGTGACTTGTGAATAGTCTATAAACAGCTCTGATAGCTTGTTTGTTTTTATTTTTATGCTTGATGAATCCATATTACGCTTGCAGTGAGGGCTGTCCTTTTCGGTTTATACAAAAGTGTTTTTGCAATAAGAGCAAAGGTATTTTTCTATTCTTAAATCTCATACTGTAATTTAAGCATTAATCCCACTTCTTCATTTATTGCTTTTGTTGGTAGGTTAGGGAAGTAGGATTAAAGTAGAGCACGTCGTGTCTTTTGCTAAGCTTGGATTTTGAATGATTGAGTTTACAATGGAAGATGGATTATGAAAATAGTTAGTTTCATCAAGATTTTTTAATTTTGTCTGTTGATAAATATCATGACCAAAGAGGTTTCAGTCAATTGTATTTTCTTGCCCCATTTTAAGAAGTCCATTACATGTTTTTAGTTTCTACTATGACTTATAAAACAAGTTCAATTAGTGTGTAGTCCAAGATCATAATAAGCTATGGTCAGGTCCAATTGTGGCCTGCTTTTATTTACTCTTCGTTGTAAATTGAAAAACTTAGTTACTAATTACATGGAGTTTGGTCTTAAAAACATGGTGATCCATGACGTCGGACCATGCAATAATTTTTCCCTCCCCTAAGAATAAATAACAAACCAGTTTATAAGAAAATGTTCTGAATTACAAATTTACTACCCTTCTGCTAGGCTTTCATCTATCTGTCTTTTTTTTCAACCTTTATTTTTCTTTTGTCCAGTCAGCTTATCCTCCTTAAGTGTTTCTGTTCATGTTCTGACCTATTATCACATTACGTTTATAGGCACTAGAGCAGATGTTAATGGAGCTTCCTAGTCTTCTGTTTTTTTCTACGTGTACATTGCTTGTCTTGTTCTGGGCTGAGATATATCACGAGGTATGTTTACTTTCTTTTGGGAGAACTACATTAACAGTCATTATTTTATGGAAAATTATATTAACTTTATCTGTCTCGAATGTATTCAGGCAAGAAGTGAACCCTCACAGAAACTTAGGCCTGCTTATGTTATTATCAATGGTTTTATTTACTTGGTACAGGCAAGTGCACAATCTTGATTTCCTTGTCCACCATTCTAGTCCTTAAAATAAGAATTCTTACTAGTTAATGTAATGAATTTATTTTAATCATCTCGCCTGATAATAATAGATCTGCCTCTGGATTTACATGTGGATTTACATGATTGCAAGCAAAACTGCTACAGGCTTGGAAGCTGCAGAACTCTTCCTTTCAGGTTATTTCTATCAACATGACTTTAGTTGATGACTTTTTTGTGTCTATTTAATTTTCATCTTGCCCTCAAATAATGTTGTTGGAAATGTTGTTGGAATTCCTCTTCGATGAAACATTTCTCCTAAGAATCACATCTCTTTATCTATCTTTTTACATAAAGAGTGAAGAATCACAACTTTATATGAATGATGAACGGTTTTTTCATCTCCTATAGGGAGAGTATTTCATTCTATTCAATCCTTTCAATCTTCTTAAAAGAAGAAAGACAAATCTTTTACTCAAATACTTTTACATAGTGCTCCTATTTTGCCCTCATCCAGGAGGGAATTTCCTGAAGTTTTAATTCCGGAGTTCTCGGAATATGGGGATACGATGAGAAGTGCTACTAATCTGATCAACATCTCTCACCTTCATATAATGATGGAGAAGAGATACCGATAAAGTATGATATATAGGAAGAAAACCTCTTGTGAGTATATTTGGGTGTAAAAGTTTTCTTCATATACTCATAGAGATGAACTTTGGTTTCAAGTTATGGGTCTCTTCAGAGAAGAGAATTGTTCGAAGCAAATATATGGTATGTTTGAGGATCAAACAGTTCAAGATATCTGGGAAGCCAAATTTTAAGGTAGTTCGTGACAAAATATGTCAGATGAAGGGAAACTTCATAGCTTTGAAGAAGCCATTAAGATCAATGACAAATGGTTGCATGCACATGAATGAAGAAATTCAATCCTTGAAGGAGAACTAATCCCATGATTTGCGGTATTTCCAAAAGAGAACGACATGGACATCAGATTGCCAGAAGAAAGAAAACATTGACATTACAAATTGTTGTGAATATAGAGAATAAATTGTTGTGAAGGGTTACGAAGACATAGATTTTGAAGAGACTCTTTTTTATCAGTAGTGAGGATAACATCTTTTAGTACTAAACTAAACTTGGAGATTGAAGAACTTGATGTTAAAACTAATTTCCCACAGGGAGACTTGGAAGAAGAAATACACACGGAGCAAGTTAACCATCTTTTAGTGCTAAACTAAACTTGGTGGATTACATCTCACGAAGGATTTGAGCAAGTCTTTTGCCATGAAAGATTGGTACAAAGCCATATATTGCTTATGTTCTAAGATAATAGATTCTTATCAAATCCTAGNCGTGGTGCACTGAAACTTTCCTTGTTATTAACTCCTTCGTCATTTCCAATCCTGTTATGGCATTTGGACTCCGAACCAAGAGCTTTGGGTTCATAGAAGGAGAGCCTGAGTTTGTGAGTGCATTCCAATGGTGGAACCAGATTGATGACTCGGATCAATGGCAGAGAGGCACTTACTATGCCCTTTGTGTCGCTTATACGTTGGTCTCATTTATTGCCCTGGTTAGAAAAATGCTTAACTTTTTTCAATTATTGTCTTTTAATTTTTAATCACTTTTTCCCTTTTTTTTGGCTTCGGTCTGAACTTATTATTTACTACATAACTGACACCCCGTCTCGTCAAATCTCAATAAGGTTTAAACTTTAACCTCTGACCAGATTTTTATGATCCAACACTGATGTTTCTCTATGAGGGTCATTGTTTTGCAACCCCTGTGAACTCCGAATGCGTTGGTTTTCTTCATGCAGAATGTGAATGGTTGTCTTTTGGTGCCTGAGATGTAAATTGTGTGCCAATTTGGTAAAATAAGGGTTTGTAGCTGTTTGTGCCCAAGCCAGATTTTTGCAAAGGAAGCCATAATCGTAACCTGTTTATTTCTCAGGTACAACTGGTGCGAATTCAAATAAGGGTACCTGAAGATGGGTGGACAATGCAGAAGATTTTCCACTTGATGAACTTTGTTGTCAATGGATGTATGTGACTTGTGAATAGTCTATAAACAGCTCTGATAGCTTGTTTGTTTTTATTTTTATGCTTGATGAATCCATATTACGCTTGCAGTGAGGGCTGTCCTTTTCGGTTTATACAAAAGTGTTTTTGCAATAAGAGCAAAGGTATTTTTCTATTCTTAAATCTCATACTGTAATTTAAGCATTAATCCCACTTCTTCATTTATTGCTTTTGTTGGTAGGTTAGGGAAGTAGGATTAAAGTAGAGCACGTCGTGTCTTTTGCTAAGCTTGGATTTTGAATGATTGAGTTTACAATGGAAGATGGATTATGAAAATAGTTAGTTTCATCAAGATTTTTTAATTTTGTCTGTTGATAAATATCATGACCAAAGAGGTTTCAGTCAATTGTATTTTCTTGCCCCATTTTAAGAAGTCCATTACATGTTTTTAGTTTCTACTATGACTTATAAAACAAGTTCAATTAGTGTGTAGTCCAAGATCATAATAAGCTATGGTCAGGTCCAATTGTGGCCTGCTTTTATTTACTCTTCGTTGTAAATTGAAAAACTTAGTTACTAATTACATGGAGTTTGGTCTTAAAAACATGGTGATCCATGACGTCGGACCATGCAATAATTTTTCCCTCCCCTAAGAATAAATAACAAACCAGTTTATAAGAAAATGTTCTGAATTACAAATTTACTACCCTTCTGCTAGGCTTTCATCTATCTGTCTTTTTTTTCAACCTTTATTTTTCTTTTGTCCAGTCAGCTTATCCTCCTTAAGTGTTTCTGTTCATGTTCTGACCTATTATCACATTACGTTTATAGGCACTAGAGCAGATGTTAATGGAGCTTCCTAGTCTTCTGTTTTTTTCTACGTGTACATTGCTTGTCTTGTTCTGGGCTGAGATATATCACGAGGTATGTTTACTTTCTTTTGGGAGAACTACATTAACAGTCATTATTTTATGGAAAATTATATTAACTTTATCTGTCTCGAATGTATTCAGGCAAGAAGTGAACCCTCACAGAAACTTAGGCCTGCTTATGTTATTATCAATGGTTTTATTTACTTGGTACAGGCAAGTGCACAATCTTGATTTCCTTGTCCACCATTCTAGTCCTTAAAATAAGAATTCTTACTAGTTAATGTAATGAATTTATTTTAATCATCTCGCCTGATAATAATAGATCTGCCTCTGGATTTACATGTGGATTTACATGATTGCAAGCAAAACTGCTACAGGCTTGGAAGCTGCAGAACTCTTCCTTTCAGGTTATTTCTATCAACATGACTTTAGTTGATGACTTTTTTGTGTCTATTTAATTTTCATCTTGCCCTCAAATAATGTTGTTGGAAATGTTGTTGGAATTCCTCTTCGATGAAACATTTCTCCTAAGAATCACATCTCTTTATCTATCTTTTTACATAAAGAGTGAAGAATCACAACTTTATATGAATGATGAACGGTTTTTTCATCTCCTATAGGGAGAGTATTTCATTCTATTCAATCCTTTCAATCTTCTTAAAAGAAGAAAGACAAATCTTTTACTCAAATACTTTTACATAGTGCTCCTATTTTGCCCTCATCCAGGAGGGAATTTCCTGAAGTTTTAATTCCGGAGTTCTCGGAATATGGGGATACGATGAGAAGCGCTACTAATCTGATCAACATCTCTCACCTTCATATAATGATGGAGAAGAGATACCGATAAAGTATGATATATAGGAAGAAAACCTCTTGTGAGTATATTTGGGTGTAAAAGTTTTCTTCATATACTCATAGAGATGAACTTTGGTTTCAAGTTATGGGTCTCTTCAGAGAAGAGAATTGTTCGAAGCAAATATATGGTATGTTTGAGGATCAAACAGTTCAAGATATCTGGGAAGCCAAATTTTAAGGTAGTTCGTGACAAAATATGTCAGATGAAGGGAAACTTCACAGCTTTGAAGAAGCCATTAAGATCAATGACAAATGGTTGCATGCACATGAATGAAGAAATTCAATCCTTGAAGGAGAACTAATCCCATGATTTGCGGTATTTCCAAAAGAGAACGACATGGACATCAGATTGCCAGAAGAAAGAAAACATTGACATTACAAATTGTTGTGAATATAGAGAATAAATTGTTGTGAAGGGTTACGAAGACATAGATTTTGAAGAGACTCTTTTTTATCAGTAGTGAGGATAACATCTTTTAGTACTAAACTAAACTTGGAGATTGAAGAACTTGATGTTAAAACTAATTTCCCACAGGGAGACTTGGAAGAAGAAATACACACGGAGCAAGTTAACCATCTTTTAGTGCTAAACTAAACTTGGTGGATTACATCTCACGAAGGATTTGAGCAAGTCTTTTGCCATGAAAGATTGGTACAAAGCCATATATTGCTTATGTTCTAAGATAATAGATTCTTATCAAATCCTAGAAGCTATGAAATATACCATATATTGCTTATGTTCTTAGAGAATAGATTCTTATCAGATCCTAGAAGCTATGAATGGACACAAGGGTATCTAAGATAAGAGGATCTACTAAAAGGAGTTTGTGTTTTGGCAATGGAAATTCCACGCTTAAGATTTTAGATATGGCAATGGATAAAAAGGTATCTAAGAGGAACTACCAAAAGGAGTTTGTATTTTGGGAATGGAAATTCCATGCTCGTTGGATATTAAAATTTAAATATGGCCAAAGATGTTTATTCCAGAAAATCTATATTAGGTTATTTAATTACTTTTGAAGAAAATTGCATTTCTACAATAGAAGTGTGTTAAGAAATGCCATGGATGAAGAATTTCCTAAGTTAAATGCACAGAATCCATATGATTATGAGGTGAATTTAGATAATTGAAGTACAGTCTATCTAGCCATATTCCATTCACGCTCTAAACACATCATATCATTGGATATGAGAAGTTTTGAAGATAGAAAAGATCAATACAAACGTTAATTCGTTTGAGATAATGACCAAGACAATGCCAATCTAGAAGGATTAGATATTGGAGAGAAGCTATGGGTGCGAAGAAAGGTGGTTCCTTTTTCACATATTTGGTGAGAATTGAAAAATGCTCATACAAGAGGGGAGATTCTTCAAGAGATTCTTTGAGAAAGAGAACATATTTGTATGCTTACTCTTACTCTTAACTTTTGCTTCTGCATGGTGCTTATTTTGCATTTCGCAAACAGGGGAATTTGTTCTGCAAATCCCAACTAACACTCTTAAAATAGAAACTCGAGAATATGTGAATCGATTATCGCTACTAAGAAA